AGTTACCAGAATTAGAATTCAAACTATTTTTAGTCCAAAAATAATAACGCATGATACGAGTATTTTCCCATGTCCAAATCATTTCATTTAATCATCAGGGTGGGTATTAATATTACTAATACGTCTCATTTACTGTATGCCTGTAGCGTGCCAGACTCTACATAAGTAGCCTCAGCCTTTCTAAATAATCTTTTGACATGAATATCTTTCCTCCCTCTTCCAGAAAAGGAAACTGAAGATCAAAGAAGCACCTTCTCTGAGGTCACCAAGGCGGGGCTGGAGATGGAACTTCCAAATAGGTCAGTCTGACATCCAGTCCCATACTGTTTTCCTCCACATGAAATGTTACGGGAAAGTGTATTATGCTCTAAATTCAGAGTACCAAAAGGAAGAGCAGAGCTTCCGGTGACAAGGCGTGGAAGGTCTTGCTTGCCTGTGAGCCTCTTGCCTATCATCCCCGTGAGTTGCTGACACTCTGCTGAAGGGAAAAAATATTGGATATGGATCGGTGCTCAGAACAAAGAAAGGAAAGATCCACACTGAGCCCTACCGTGAATGAAATACGGAGTTTGGTTCTGAGGCACTGATCCCACGGAAGCAATGTCAGTGCAAGCAAGCCTCGGACAGTCGGAGACTACAGTGTACAAAGTTTATCTCGTGTGGTCCCTTGGACTTTGGGGCAGAGTCAGAACCCCCAGGGTCACACCCTCTGACCGAGTGGATGCGGCAACTCCATAATGTTTTCATTGACAGGAATTGCTGCAGATGTTTTGAGTGGATTCAGGACATCGAGGCAGCCAGGACAGCACAAGTAAAGACCCTCAAGAAAGAGGACTCCAGAGCTGCTGCAGAAAGCGGTGGGAGTGATGGGATGAGTGTGTTCGCGGCAAGAGGGAGTATTATGAGGGGCATTGTTGACAATGCGCCTTTTACTGCAGTCATTTTAAAAATTCAAACGCAGACTGTATTTTTGGTCAGCCCTTGTAGAAAACACGCTGATTCTAGTTATATATTTGTCAGGCCAGACACTAGTCTGAATGTTTCTCAGAATTAATTCATTCGAGTTTGGTGATAATCTTAGGACAAGAGTTGTTATTGCCACCTCTCTTTCACAGAAGAGGAAATGGGGGTCCACAGAGATCCTATGGCCTTTCCCAAGGTCACAGTCAAAATCTGCGATGATTTGGCTTTTATTTTCAATGGCAGCAAGAGATTATGAGAGGAATTATGTACATTATGTGGTACAGATAGAAAAGAACAAACCAGAGAAGGTGCCCTGGAAGAGTGCAATTTGATGCTGTCACAGAGACCTAACTATTTAATGATTTCAAAAAGACACTGCGGACTTCTCTCTCTGGATGCTTGGGGTCACCCAGAGGGGTTCAGTGCCCTGAAAGAGGGTAGATAATATGTTTCCAGGTTTCTTCCCAATTTCACAAGCCTTTCAGTAACAACGTGGTCCCCTACTGGTAGATGGGAGTGGAACCATTTGTCCTCCTGGAATCTTGAAATATACATAGAAAAATCTATGTTAACTGGAACTTGATTTCCAGAATGCTACATTGGGCCAGGGATTTACCTCAGTGGTGCCATGCCTCCTTGCAAGCATAAGGTCCTGAGTTCAATTCCCGGTAACAAAACAAAACAAAAAACACTAAATCAAAATGTGTTGCTGAATTATGCTTTTCAAAGTCAGAAGGCAATTTATCAAAAATATGCATTATTCAGTAATCCCTCTACTCTTGAGTACATACATCCAGACCACAAAGCTTTACCCATCCCCTTCTCTACATAATCCCACATCTGATTCCATGCCCAGCTCTCTATGGTTAGCTCATTTAATGATGAAAACAGTTTCCACTCAGAAATTTAAGTGATTTTTCTCATGTTCCCATGGCTTAGAAGGGACTTAAAAAAGGCCTGGAACACAGATTTGTCAACCGTGCTTTCTTCAGTCCCATGTTCTGTACTCTTTTAGGTGGGCATATTCCACAAGCAATTTCTTCTTGAGTCATCCACTCTGCAGACATCATGGGCTACACCTTTCACTTATAGCCAGCAGAGTGCTTATTGGTGAGGGATACAAAAGTTACTCCTGGCTTCTGGTCTTCCTCACACTTTTACCTAGGAAACTGGCAAAACCCTGGGCCCCGTTTTACCTGGAGGCTTGAGGAAGACAAACCTGGGAATAATTGAAACTGCTATGGACAGTAGCTATACTGAGCACACCATGCTGGCCATGGGGATGTGTGAGGAATGTTGGGAGACTGTCGGGGAAAGAAAGCATGGTTTTGGCTCATAAGCCGTGGTTCTTTATTCCAGTTGCATATGACAGTTACTTGTGGTCTGTCTTTAAAATCGGATGCCCAGGGCCCTATGGAAGACCTACAGTCAGAAATCTGGGAGGACAATCACCAAAACATCAGTGTTTTTTAAAAATATTAACTTTCCACTTGATTCTCATTTGTAGCAAAGGTTAAAGACCACTTCTCAGTAGAAAATCTCCTTGCAAATATTTATACTTAGAGCTGTGGTCCTGAGGAAAGTCACGCCTATAGCTATGATAACCCATGCACTTTCATCAACCAGCAGTGCTCAGAGATGGTGAGGTCAGATCAGAAATCAGGGCAGGTGGAAATCTCGGCTGGTGTTACCTCTACCAGCAATAGCCAGACGTGGTGGCACACACCTGTAATCCCAGCACTCAGGAGGCTGAGGCAGGAGGATCGCTGTGAGTTGGAGACCAGCCTGAGCTACATAGTGAGTTCCAGTTCAGTATCAACTACATAGTGAGACCCTGTCTCAAAAAAACAAAACCTCTACGAGTGACAGGAGTGCTGCTTCTGTGGCATTGGCTCGCTGTTGCTTGTCTTGACAGAGAAACAGCAGTTTCAGTTTGTTGAGTGGGATTCTGCTAACACAGACCCTCTTGTGGCTTCAAAGACCACTTCCCTGAGATTAATTTACTAAGAACCACTCACTGGCTCTTACTGGGAATCCCTCGCACGTGCGCGCGCATGCATACACACACACACACACACACACACACACACACTTCTAAGGATTTTAAAAAATTGATGGTTTGAATATTTCAACAAAATATTTAACAATTTTGCTTATGATAAACAGTTCCTTCCAGAAAAAAAAGTGTAACCATATAATCAGCAAGAGGCTCCATAAATCATCAAGAACACCAGAAGCCTCCTCTGTGCTCTGTGCATTGTGGTTTAAGATGACGCTTTGGACCTTGGATTCTTCCTGTGTCAAATGAATCAATGACTCTCTGAGTCCCCTAACATGTTATGATGCTATGATTCATTTTCCTTCAAAACCCAAGCAAGATGAAGTTGCCTTTTATTTATGGAGTAGATTAACCTCTTTAGGTTCTTAAAGAGGTAGGAAAAAAAAAAAACAGCGCAGGGTGAACACAGTGGTTTTGTTTGTTTCCTTCACTACCTCCTCTTCTGGCACCGCTGGGCTGGTTCTACAGCTAAGTTAAAGACAGAAGTGTTCTCAGCATGGGCCTTTCTGGACAGATTCTGAAACTTCACCTGTGCTGTTGTCTGGGCACCGTGCTTGGTTTTCTTTGTGCGGTATGGGAGCAGAGAAGAGAAAGAACCATCTGCTTTAATATGGCAGAGCTAAACGCAAAATAACTGGGCCTACAGTCTAATCTATTCATGCTACTGTTTATTCACCTCATATAAAAGTCTCTTAAGAATGCATTTGAGCACAGTGTATAATAAAATTACTATAACATACATGGTGAGAAACTGTGGAAAACAGTGAAACGTCCACCTGGAACAGTGAGTGCAGTGTTGACAGACACACAAACCACAGTTGTGCACACTGGTGCGGATTTGCTAGCTACCGCGTCACAACACAGAACTGAAGCACGAAACATACTGTACAAACCGAAACAACACCGGGGAGAGGCCTGACAGGCGTTGTCAGAAGAAGCTTCACATTTGCATGATTTACTACATCAGTTCACATTTTATTATAAAAATTCACATTGTTTTACTGTTTTCTTCCACACTGAGCTGGAACATGACATTCCCGCAGAATAGCAGGCAGGAGGCTCGCTCTTCAAGAGTCAGTAGTTTGGGGACATTCAGGAGAATCTTGTGAGCAAATGTAGTGTCGCTTTTGGAACCAAAGCCACAATGAGAGCAGAACCCAGTTATAACCCAGCTCACGCGTACACAGATTTGGATAAAACGTGGGTAAAAACTGCATGCCACGGCCCCACCCTTATCAAACTGTACAAAAGTAAAAGCTCGATATAAACCATTTTGTATCTAATGTGAGAGTCCTGTTTGCAAAACTGGTTCCCAAAGGGCTGTGCAACTCAGACAGGGACAGGGCCACCCTGGGGACCCCACCCTTCCCTGTCCTGACGGCACAGGGAGGGGCCTTCTGTCTCTGCGAAGCGGTGTCCAGGTTAATATAATACACAATACAAAACATTACAAGTAAAAGTCGCAACTCTTAGGCAGAGTCTTCTACGCAAATGTAACACCACCATTGGCAGGCAATGTTAGATATATAAATTAATAACTTACAAAACATTACAGTATATACATTAAGTAATAAATATACGGTTATCAACAGGAATGGAGGTGTTAGCGTGAAAGGCAGTGCAAGAGAAAAATAGGCAGATCAACTCGGAAACAGTGTTGCGAGTAGGGAGGAGGACAGGTCGGGCCAGGGGACTTGGGGCTGAGGACTGCAGCTCAGCTACCCCATCCCACCCCATAGTGTGTTGGGCGTTTTTCTGTTTATAGCACAAACAGTGAGACCTGGGGGCAGGGGGAGAATACTGTTCCAAGCAAGCAAACAGAGCTAAGTGACAGGGGCCACCCTGCTGGTGTCGGATTGGACCGGGGAGGAAGGAAGTAGGATGCGGTTAGAAGTGCATCTTTTCTGTCTGTTTGCAAAAGTTAACTGTAGGAAAGCGAAAGATATTGCCCAAGAAAGAAGGAAGACTGTTTTCTTTCTTTTTTCTCCCCCGGAAAGAGTCAAAACAGTTTATATCAACTTTGAACGCCTATCTGTGTAGAAGTTGGTACTACAGATATTCAACAGGCATTTTTCAAGACATGAAAATGTTTTACAAAAAAGGCACACAGGTTGGCACACGGGGGACAGTGAGCAGATTTATCAATGAAGGTATTGGTCAGCGAGTTCAGTCACTAGTCGGGCAGGGCCCGACTCTGCGTGCAGAGGAATCTCTCGGTTTTGTGTCTTCCGTGTTCAAGCCATTTGGTCGTGGTTGGAACCGGCCCGCACTACCACAGAAAGCCTCAGCTCTCTGCCGAGCTCGCCAGCGAGGCAAGTCAACCGCGCGGGTTTCCTGAGCTGCTGTTTGCTTCTTGGCCTGTGATCTGGCCCCAAACTCCAGTACCCGGAAAGGCCAGGTGGCCTCTGTCTCATGCAGGCCTCGGCCCGTGCTGGGCTGGCCCTGCCACACAGCTCGCCTGCTCCCCAAGGGTGGGAGGTCCTTGCCCACGGAGAGGCAGATTAGGTGTCGGTCGGGGACTTGTCCTCTGTTGCGGTGTCCACATCGCCCTCGCCCAGGGGATCCTGGAGCTCTGGGTCGATCACACAAAGTGTCTTCGTGCTGCCGAAATAGCTGTGGCCCTCCCCGTCCTTCTTGGGCCCTTCCGAATCCTCCTCCTCCAGGGTCAGTTCGAACTGAAACTTCTCTATCAGGCCCTGGCAGTCCCGGCTCCGCTCATCCAGCGGTGGGGAGGGGCTCTGGGGTATCATGCTCTGGTACCAGTTCCTATTGTCCTCCAGCGTGTCCAGAATGTCCTGAGCGTCCGGCTGGACCAGGTCGGCCCAGGTCTCCCACAGCGGGTGGACGATGTAGTCGATGAAGCCCACCTGCAGAGAAAGAAGACGGCACCTGTGTTACGGCAACGGGTCCGTGACGCCCAGCTGGGGCAGCGGTTTCCATGCAAGGGAAAATCACAACCCCGACAGGTCCGTAACAAGGGAGTCCTTTACTGGAGCACTTGCTGTACAGTCCTGTGGAGGATACAATATATGCAACGTATTTCTCACTCCTGCAACTTAAGTGTTGCTGTCTTCTGGGAATTGAGTCTCACTGGGGTTAAATTTATTTTATTATTTATTTATTGTTCTTTATTTCTCAGCACTGGGGTTTGAATCAAGAGCCTTTGTACTAAACTATGGCCCCAGCCTGTTTTACTTACTTATTTTATTCTGAGACAAGGTCTTGCTAATCATTAAGTTGTCCAGACAGGGCTGAAACTTTTGATCCTTCTGCCTCAGCCTCCCAGAGTACCGGGATTAGAGGTGTGAGCCACTGCACCGGGCTGAGATGAAATTTCTCCTAGAGGTCACACAACTGGTGGGCGGATTCCAAAGCCTGTGCTCATCACGCTAACAACACACGGCTTTTCCTTTCATGTGTGCCAGATAAGAAGTCTGGATGCCATGCCGGCCGGGAAAGACCTCGTCAGACTCGGATTCCGTGAGTCATTCTCCAAAGAAGGCAGCCCGGGGTCTGCTGTGCTCTGACTCAACAGTCTTCCCCTGATAACGTCAAAATATGCTACTGTGACAAAGCGACTGGAGCCGGCCCCGTCCCCTCTGGGACCTCAAGTGCGGGACGAGGGAGGGGGGGGGGTCCTTGCGACTGCAGCGGAGTTTGCTGGAACACTTGAAAACAACTCAAGCCCTAAACAAACAAACGTCCCCTCTGTGGACAGGCCCGCTATTGTCAGGATCCACCGGCACACACGGTCATTTCCATCCAAAGAAAGGAGGAAAACAAAAACAATCAGCCAGTTCCTTCTGCTGCTATTCCTGTGAATAAGCCCGAGGCGTCCGGCTTTGTCACGGTTTACACAGGGGCTGTGTATCCTGCATGAGCTCCCGGTGCAGCCTCCTGCTGACCCCGACACTGTGGTACAAACAGGAAACCAACGCTGGGCGTGGGGGCAGGTACACAGGGAAAGGCACCGCCCGAGAGGGCGTAGAGTTCCCTGGTCGTAGTCTCGGGCTGAGAGGCTGGGCCGGGACTCGGGGGTCAGATGGACAAGGCCCCCACCGGACCCTGGGCATTAAAGCGCTACCTTACCGCTCTTTCCTTTATTGACATTTCGGTATTTGGCCGGTCATTTCAGTCACTTAATATCGTGAAGTGTGTTACAGGCAAACACTATGGTCATATGTGACTCCTTTATGTAGCAACATATATGCAAACATATGTGTGTATAGATGGGAGGGGAGGGGGGAGAGAGGGAGGGCGGGAGGGGAGGGAGCTGAGGAGGATTTTTCCCTCTGGTTCTTTCTTAGCCTTAGCAAGTAAGATTCACCCTGAAGCTGGGGCATCTCTGACCTACTCTGGCTATCAGAACTTGACTGAGGATGGTTTAGATATTTCTCTTGTGTTCACCGCCTCCTTTTCTCTCCTTTATGTGTCTACCGGATTGTTTTTTTAAAGCTATTTTCAAGGTGTTTTCTAGGGATCGGAAATACTCTTGAGGCAATGGCAAAAACAGAGTAAGCAGAACACAGTGCAGTCATACCCTTTCTTCGTTTGGCTTCTGCTGAGAAATGCTCGGGACTTTCTGGAAGGGTAGCCCTGCTTACGTCCCAGGTCAGGGGCTGAGAGAACCCTGCAGCTCCTACGAGTACCTAGGCCAGAGCTTCATGGGCAGATCAATGAGACACAGTTCAACAGCAGCCCTCTGCGGGAACCCGGCCTGGCAGTGCCGTCCTGGGCCGCGGGATGCTGGCAGACAGCAGGGTGGCACAGAAGCCGGTGACCTGGACCAAGAGGACAGTCTCTTCACTGGGCCTGGCCTCTACCCTGCACGGCTGCTCGGGGTTCACGTAGGACAGTGCGAGGGACTGAACAAACAGCATCACAGTCACTGAAGAGCGGTATGCTCCTCTGCACTCTTAGGCCAGTGAGACCTTTAGGTTATTTGAGCTTTCATGCCAGCTTCCATTCTGCAGCATTTAGGTTCAGAACAGCTTCACAGATACAAAACTCAGACTTCTTTAAGATGTAACAAAATTAATTGCAAGGGAGCTCTACATCGGTGGTACAAATAAATGCTAATTTGGGGTTTTCAGGTAATGGGGAAGGGGGAAGACACTAAGGAAAAACCACTCCAAGTGTTCTGAGTTAAAGACTGTGGACATCTTCTGGGTCCACTGTCAAATCACAGCGACCTGCTTCAGACTCTGCTGTCCTAAAAGAAACAACACTGCATTGTCCTCTGACACCTGTGCAGATCATAGTACCCGTCTTGCAGCTGGTGGGGCTTGGGCTCTCCTGCAGCCCCAGAGCGGTATTTCTCGTCTCCAGAACACAGAGAATGTGGACATGGTCAGAAAGGTCAGACTGGTCCCCAAGGCACAGAGGGAGGGAGGGAGGGGCACAGACAGGGCTTCAAATACCTCCGGGGATGTGGCAGTGTCTGGCGACAGACAGAGGGCCACAGCGGAGGCTGTGGCTAGGGGGAGGGGCTGAGCTCCTGGATGAAACCGGAGCGAGGAGGAATCTGTCGGAGAGGTGGCCATGTGTGAACACTGGCTGGGTCTGCTCAGCCAGAGACGACCACCTACACCGCGTCCACATGCAGAGTCCAGACTCGGAGGGGTTTCTGGCGACTGCTTAATCCCTACCCTGTAAGGCTGAGGTGAGGGGAAGGCAGACGGGTCATGGGCCTAATGGATTCATGTGCAGCTGTTGTTTTAGTAATTCATACACACAGAAAAGAAAGGAACTAGGCAGAGTCCATCAATCCCACAGTCAGCAGCGCACAAGCACGTGGGTAAATCACATTTCAGACATGGTACCTGGGACTTTTCCACAGAAGCAGTGTGCTTATCACACATCGGGCTGATCTCCATCCCTCTCTCCCGCTCTTTGTCGCCCTGCTGGAAGAACTCCTCCATGATGCGGTCTGTCCACTGCCGATACAGCTCCAAGGACTTGGTGGGGTTGCTCAGGTCTGCACAGTGCACCATGTTTCGGAGGACCTGTTGTCATCACGGGGTGGAAAGCCCGTAAAAAACAAGTGTAAACACGGCCAGAACATCTAGTCCCTCGCGCTGGTATACTTAGCACACAACTCCGGAACGTTTTATTTTAAATAAGACACGCGAGCCCACGGACCAGGATCACACTGGTTTGGAGAGGGCTGGCCATTTACCATTAAAAAGGCCCATCGGGGAACACACATCTGTGTAGACTGACAGTCTTTGGACTTAAATACTGGAAGGAGTATTAGGGGTCAAACGCTGATATCATTGCCTTTCCTCCATTTGGAAAGGATGCAAAGAGTTACTAAAAGTTGTTGGCTTCAGATTTCCACGTATGGACAGAAGAGGTCAGGTGATGACAGTGTGTATCAACAAACACGGCACACCAACTCCAGGTCGGGGGTTATACTCAGACACGAGCCCGGGGGGCCCACAGTCGCACATGCCCCGTAATAAGTAGATTTTGCAGTTTATTTTTAGAACTAAGCAATTCAATAGATAGTTATGTTTTTCCTCATAGAGAAAAACTTAAATGTCTAGTTTCTTAAATCAGTACTTAAAATAAGCTCAAAGCTGATGTAGCAGCTGAGGACATACAACTAACTGAATTCATGCTTTTTTGAAATGTCAGTTGGTTTGGCGCCGCGTGGACTAAAGTTTCACTAAATACCTGGATGCGATCAGTGTAGTTGTCCAGGAGAAGAACGCCCGAGCTTGTGACTTTCTTGGTTTCCACCATGGTTTTCAGGTCGGCCAGCAGGCTCATGTGTTTGGACATATCAGTGGCTAACACCTTGGGGAAAAGGCAAAAGGCAAACGTCTTGGTAAATCCGATCCGTAAGAGAAGGGCAACAGTAGTGTGGGACGCAGAGAAGCTGTGGTCTCACCATGTCGATCACCATCTTCCTGAGCGTCTGGCGCTGCTTCTTGGAGAGATTCTGGAAGATGTCACAATGCTCTTCCTGCAGCAGTTTGAAACCCACAGCGAGGTGGTGGTTTTCCAGCACAGACTCATCGTTGTACATCAAAGCGAGTTCCGAATCTGACGAGGAAGACATGATTGCTTCAGAAAAGATACGGCAAGAACCGTCGCCCCCAAACACTGGCATTACATCGGTGTGAAATCGACCCCAGCTACAGGTCACTGCCTCTTAGAGCAGCAGCAACAGTGTGTTAGCGAAAAGGAAAAAATGATTCTGGCAGACACTGGTGCTCCAGTTTTCTCTTTGGCTAAAAGAATATTGGCTCTGAAAGTCCTTTATCTCCTTTCACCTCTCTGATGAAGAAACTGATGCTAGCGGAAACCACCCTTGACCAACTACAACATGTTTTTATCTCCTTCACAGAATGAAAATACCACGAAACTTTATCTTGTGCACTGAGATTTTCAAACTGTATTCACTTTACATGTGCTCCCTGGTGTCTGGCAATTGTGAGTTTTAGATTTTCAAAGAAGATAATGTGTTTGGGTAAAATTTTGTTTTACTCAAATAATGTAGTTTTTTGAAGCTTTGTCCAAACAGTGACTAAACATTAACATTTTTTTTGCCAATCTTGATGTCAGACTTCTTGTCTTTTGCCTCTCTACACCAGAAATTGTGATACCTAGGTACCTACAGGTGCCAATTAGACACCTTCTGTTAGAGAGTGCTCTGTGCTTAGAAAATACAGTCATCGAATCCATGAAGTCACATTTCTCTGAATCAAGGACGACCGCCAAGTGATGGCAACGTGCTTCAGGCCTCAGTGGCCTCACTCTTGGGCCCTACTCTGAGAGTGGTGCCCTTCGGAGTCGCCCCTCAGCAGGGCGGCAGCTCTCCGGAGCTACCTGGGGACTCTGCTCTGCCTGTCCTGCGCGGTTTGCATAATCACAGTTCTGCAAGCAGGCTTTATATGCTTCTGTCTGTAGCAGAAAGACTGCTCTCCTGAATGACGCTGGTCTACACAGGGATACATTCGCGGCAGCACATTAAGTCAGCTGATACAACCCACAGGGACAAAGACCTGCCCCAAATTTATGATCTTTCAGCCGAAGAATGACATTTTAAAAATAGTATACTCACAATTTAAATAACTCACATATTCTGACCATAAAGGTAAGGAATGACAACAAGATTCTCTTATAGCAAGTACCTCATGCAGTATTTTAATACAACTCTCAGCACTCGATGTCTATCATGCCCACAGCAGGACAGCCACTAATCTCAAAGGAAACGGTACTTAGATTTACAACACATAGACAGCTGAGTGTCTCAAGTGAGAGAATGAGTAATTTTTATTAGTATAGAGACCAAACATTGTGAGCTTTGAGTATGGCCTGGAAGCCTAAGGCTTGAGCATCCCTGGGTGTCCTGGCCACAGGTCAGTCCATAATCAAACCCAGGCAGTTGCGACAGAATGTGTGGAATCTTCGATGACTTTACCTCCCAAATTGGAGGATCCCATTATAGTGTGGGCTGGGGCATTTTGGTGACAATTGAAGGTTCCCTCGCTGAGGTCCAATACCTACAGCTGCTTCTCCAGCAGAGAGAGACACTGGCGAGTCACTGTGCTGTGTGAGAGCCCTGCCTGATACTGAGAGCCACAGGCATGCTATTGCCAAGCCTCTCCTTGTCTTACTACATAATTCCACATCTGTTATTCTTTCCTTCCACATTACACTTTCCAAACTTTGAGTACTTTTTATGGCTTCTCACTGAACCTCTTCAAGCTCTCCACACTGTGTTGCCAGAATGGACACAGTATCCAGGAAAGGCCTGAGCAGTTTCAGTGGAAGTTTCAGTGGAAGGATTATCTCATTATTACCCTTGTTAATATCCACAATGAAAACATTGGAAGGAAAGAAATGCAGTGAATCACACAACTGGCTGCATGGCTGTTCTAGTGGTGAACTCACTTGTGTTGATGAGGAACTGATTGGAGACTCCGGGATGATCGACATCATGGATGGCAGCTGCAAAGATGGCGGCCAAGATTTCCAGGTCCGTGAAGACCGCCTGTGGAGCAAGGGAGTCTGTTTAACCCTATATCCAACGCCTATCCAGCTTGTGCAGTTTGATTTTAAAGCCTCCTTTGATTTCACTCCCACTGGGGGAGAGTTGATGATTTGTGTAATGTCTCAGCAGGACAATTTAGTTAAACATGGATTCTGTTCATCACCATAAAGTCTCTGATGTGAAAGGGATGACATCCAGAGCTTGTTCCTACATCAAGCTGAGGTTTGGAAAGTCATCAGCACAATGCTCTTGGAGTGTGTGTGTGTGTGTGTGTGTGTGTGTGTATGTGTGTGTGAACACCTGGTGTTTATTTCTTGGACCAGTGGTGTGGCAGCACAGTGATTGTGTAACACAAGCACATACAAGTCAAAGCATCTCGTCAGACTGGCTCTGCTCTGAGATAATGACAACCTTCATATTCTGGCTGAGCAACATAAAGAAAAAAGGCCAAGCTCCAGACTTGTAAGATAAGCTATCAGTTACTTCCCAGAGTTCAATGCAGTGTGTTAGATTTTATGTTCATGTGTTCCTTTGGCACATACCCACATGTCTGCATCTCCCAACTCTTCCGTGCCCTGTCGGGAAGGTTTCTTGGCCCTACCCATGCACAGTGATTTAAAATCAGTATTTCTTAGCACGGACTGGGACTGATTCTAGGGAAGAAATTTCTTTTCTCATCCTCTAGTCCTTCAAATGCCAACCACCTGTTTCAGCAAGACCAGTCCTATTCATCTAGCACTCGTTAGAGTCTCCTTGTCTAAAGGTCTGCGGCACTCATGGCCAGCTTCTGCCACGCAACAGTGATCCATAACGCTGGCCGGTGACAAATAGCGTTACCCCACTGTGGGGAACTTACACAGAGCACAAAAACAATAGTTTCTTTTCCCTCAGAGGATAAAACACCCTTAGCTCCATCTCACTTTCCCAGTGTCTCCTAGAGTTTTCTAAAAAACCGGGAAGCCAAGCCACAGAATCATGCACAGTTTATAATCAATCTTCCTTCCTCTCCTGTACAGGTGAGGGCATAGGACTGAGCCGGCCCCATCTGGCAGTGGGCACACATCGGGGAGTAACCTGGCCACCACTGCCGCCTGCCCTGTGACAGCACAGCTGGGCACTCTTCTAAGCACACTGGTCCACAGAAAAGCATCAATCTGTAGCAGAAGCGGACACGGTCACTTGCTCTGATCCTGACTGGTCCCAAGGCACACTGTTGCTCTCTCCCTGCAGCACTCTTAATTCTTCTGCTCTAATTCTCAGTTACTCTTCCTTTAATCTGGAACATCAGCTAGCCAAATTCCAAGGAGAATAAGTTTATGGATGCTTATTTCTAAGAGGAACAGAAAGCCATGTATCTGATATGTCTGTGATGTCATCCAGCAGGCCTGGGGTGGTGTTAGGCAATTCACAAGTTCATGCGTCTTGAGGGTACACCAGATACCAGACACTAAGCAAGACACTCTGAGACATTTGTCTTCCTTACTAGGGATACGATGAAAAATAAGGCATGGATGACGCTAATGAATAACTGCTTTTTCAATTAGAAGAGATATAAAGGAAAGGTTATTCTGGTACAAGAGAGCAGAGAAAGTATGTATGTCACTCATTTATAAATAACCCAAATGATGTGTACTAGACATCGCAGAGAACACGTTATGCGGCTGGGGACACCTGGTGATGTTGCTTTCATAAATATACCATCTACCACATGATATCCCTGAAAGCGGGCCACCAGGCTGGAAGACACTGATGGCAGCTACTCACGTCCAGGGCAGGTGTGGAGAGGAGCACGTGTGTGGACTGGGCCACGTCGGCCGCATGCAGGCTGTTGTGGTAGGCCACGTCGGCGTGGTAATGGTCCTCCAAGGTCATCATGTAGGTCACGAGCGTGTCAGACGAGATCTTGAAGGTCTTCAGGAGGTCTCTTTCCTGGGCAGTGAAATGGATTTGGCTCTGAATAAGCGGGAGGGCAGCGCGGGGTGGGGGTCCCTGAACACAGGAGAAGACGACGAAACGCCAAGGACGGACTGGGGCGGGGATCACGGGCCGATTCGGTACGGACCTGGAATATGGCGTACATGATGCAGGTGAGCGGCCGGTTGTGTGAGTATCCAGCCACACTGAAGATGTTAAGGCCCCACTTGTTCAGGTCTTCCAGCTCCTGCAATCGAACGCAGAGGGATTTAGGAATGAGGGTAGTTTTCAAGTTCACTTTAAAATTTTTTATTGTTTTGTACACTTCTTGCCTAAATCATTGCAGGGTCTCTTTAGGGTGTTTTTGCTGTATGAAAATCTGGACACAATGACTTAGAAAGCAGGGTACCCTCTTCGTGACAGCTGCAAGTTTCCGCACATTTTCTTCTTTTTGGGAAAGGGAAGGTGTACATCTGTTTCTAAATTTAGCTGCTGACCCATATTTGCCTAGCAGCGGCACTCAGCCAGTGTTGCTTTCGAAGGCATTCACAAGTGAATACAGCTCACTCTCGCTTCATTTCCCTGCCTGTCCCCGTCCTACCAGGGACAGCCAGAGACAGGGCCGGGAAAGTCCTCTGCCCCTTGGTTACTGACACCAAGTCAGATCAGAGAAACTCAGCTGTCGCCTCGGACCGGGAAGGACGATCATTCAGGCCTATGGTGTGGGGAGTATCTAAGACGATCTGACAGCAGGAGAAACCTACTGCATTCTTAATCTCTGCTCAGCGGCGCAGCCAATAGTTTAATCAAGCTGGTCTGACGGCAGCTTCCGGAAGGCCTCCCTGAAAGTTCACCTGGCCAGTGCAACCTCCTCTCGTCTCTCACAAGGCTGTGGGGGCCTGGGGAGGCCCCGTGTGCAACCTCTTTGAAGACCTAAAAATTGGCTCTGTGTCTTCCTCCCCTACGGGCTTTGGAGGCAATCGTGGCCTCATCTTTTCTGTCTTCCCCAGGTCTCCCAATCGGTGCAGATCTTCCTGCTGGCCCTCCCAAAATGTCCCCTGGGGTAAATCAGAGCTGCTGACTCAGGACCTAAAAGGGTCTTTGGTGTGGAAGAAGGATCTTCCAGCAGGCACCTCAGCAAGGGACAAAGAGGCTCTGTCGGGTTCTTTATTATAAACAAGAATGCGAAGGATCCCTCTGCACCCCGCGCACACAACTCCAGCCTGCACACACCTTGGCCAGGTGATCCTCGTTTTCAGTGTTGACTCCGAAGCGGGAGATGCTCGTGTTGTTCAGGCTCGAGCTGTGCATGAGTTTCTTCACCCCGCTAATCTGCGTCATCAGCTGCTGCTTCTTCTTTTTCTCCCGGTCTTTCTGGGTGGGGGACGGGATCTCCACGTCATTCTGCTTGTCTGCAACAGACAAAGGCACACGCTTTTCAGCAGGCATGTCCATGCCCTATCCCGAAGGACACTGTGCCGGGCCGTGGGTGACGGGTCTGACAAGAGACGCTCGTGCTATGATCTTTCAAGATCTGTGGGGTGGTCCTAGGAAAACATGATTTAGAGCTCCATGTGGTTGCTAAGGAGATGGAGGTGTGAAAGAGCTAAGCATTTGTCCAAGAGGTGGCAGAGTTGCAACCCAAGCCCAACACTCTGTCCTCACTGCAACTCAGGAGAACCACACTCATCCATGTCCAAGATGAGCATCAACACTTCTGTGTAATTTTTTACTAAAGTGAGTAACTTCTGTGTTTGTGTAATGAAAAAATACTCATCAGCCAAACCCAGGTTAAGAACAATAAGCTTCAAGTTCTGCTCATTTTATTATGTTTTCGACCATTTGCTTTAGTTGAAAAAATTCATATGACTTTAGCTGGGTTCAGTTTAACTGAGAAAAATAAATGGTTTATATAATCTTCAAACTTTAAAACTTTGGCTTGTTACCATGTGAGGTTTAGAGAAAGGCTATATTTTTCAGGTCTATTTTATGCTTTATGTCTATTAATTCTATTATTAAACAACCAGGCCTCTCATTTGTCACGGGAAGTACACTTACTAACATATTCATGCTCCTTAAATATTTATAGTCATCTCATCTAATATTTAAAAATTTTTTGTTACAACAAGGTAGCCACAGAACTAACAGTAGTGAAAGGAGTGTCTTTCTGCTAATAGAAGCCTTTGCCTCTCTATGATTCCATGAAAATCCCAGCGATCACATGGCCTATGCCACTTCCCCAGGAGACGGTCCTGAGAAGGCCCAAGAGAAGAACTGCGTGAACTCTCAGGCCTCTGGGCACGCAGATCTGACTCCACGGCTAAACCACTACTTCACCGAACGAATCAGACCATACCCTGTGGCCGAAGGGTGGAGGCAGCTTTCAAAGCACCCACACCTCTCTCTGCTTGTTACGGTGGAAGTCAGCCTGGAGATGACCACTCCACGGGAAAGCGCCGCACTTCCAGGCGGCCCGTGGGGACCAAGATCATCAGACCCTTGCAGATGATGGCACACCGTCCCCCGGGACCCTGGCTGCTCACCAGCCCCTGCGGACAGACATCACAGCCAGGCAAACAGCGGGAGCCTCCCAGCTCCCCGGACACCCTGCTAACAGCTTCTGGGCTGCAGCAAGGGTATTTTCTGTCTCCTGCACCCCTGTGCGATCTTTCCATGCCCACGAGCCTTTAGACTGTAACTTCTGAGTAGGGAGGAATTTCGATCATCTCTATTAGTTCAGGAGTTTCCAACCTAATTCTACACCAGAAGTGCCCAGGAAACTTTCAAAAGTGCAGCTTTATGGGCCTCACCCACCCCATCCTACTGAATCAGAAATTTTATGAAGATGCCCGTGACTTGGGTGATAACAGCCAGGGCTAAGGACCAACGACAATCCCATCCCCTCATTTTTCACATGAAGTCAGCAACTTGCCCAAGCTCGAAGGACGATTTATTTGACAAATATTTAGCTTGCAATCACACTGCTCCAGACACAATGATTTAGTGGCACAGACCCCAGGCCTTGAGGTTCACCTTAAAAGTCTCTGTCCTGCCACACAACAACTGGCATAGAAACTATATACTGTACTACTCGTGAGATGACTTTTCTTCACATCACTCACTCCTAATAATTACTCTGTTTTGCTAAATGAAAGGCTACAGAAGCTCCTGGCTTTCCCGATCACCATGGTTCATATCTGGCTAAAGAGGCTGTTCGATCCCTCTGGACCTCTGCAGAGAGAACTGACTTTCCGGACCTGTGGCTTTTGCCTTTGTTTAATTAAAACTTGCCTGCAATAGCGCGTAATTGAGCTGAGCCACTGCAGTGTCTGGGGCCTTGCAGAAGAAGAGCACTGTTCACAGAGACACCAGCAGTGTGTCCCTGGGTGACCAGAAGCGTCAGTGTGCAGGGGCGGCGGAGGGCCGGTGTCACGCCTACCAGAGCCCATGCCAGCGACAGGTCTTGGCCCTCTGCTCACCGCGTTACTTGGAGAGCTTCCCTTGCTAGGTCCCAGCACTGTGTGCTCCTGAAAATTCCTAAACCCTTTCCCTCACAGCTTGAAAATCCTAAGTTCTAGATTTCAGGATGCTTTTTTCTGCCTGTAAAAATATTAGCTACCCTGAGATATAACATCTAAAGATCTTTGCTTGTTTGTTTTGTTGCATCCTCTCCAGTGATATTCTTCTTTGGTACCCTGATAGCACATGCTTGGATCTCCACACATCCCAGCAACCCGGAAGTCATCCTATTCGCTGCATCTAGTAGGCACACACTGGCCAGCGGTCTATGGCCGGCCTTTCCACCTGTCCACCCGGACACTATCTTATCAGCAGGGAGCAGCACAAGTTTCACAGTAGCCTGGATGAAGGGACTGCCCTCTCCCCCTGGTGACACACTTTAACTTTCAGGGACTTTACTGAGGTACTGCTCTTAAGCTTGAACTGTAAGGTAGCATCTTTTTTTTGGGGGGGGGTACTGGGGATTGAACTCGGGTCCTTGCGCTTGCAAGGCAGGCCACCGAACCACTAAATCCTCGATGATTTTTTTTTTCCTCAGCATCTTAACTTAAACTGCTGATTAGGATGACCGCCATATTCTGACCAAAGCTGTTCATATTACTGGAAATTGCTAGTCAACATTTTATTTTTTAGGCCCAACAATCTTGAGAACTTTTCTTTTTGCAAAATAATGTGCATATTTCTTAAATACCCTTAAATACAATTTTCTTATATATGTTGTGAACCCCTGATAAGAGTGGCAGAGTATCTCAGTTCAGAAACCAAGAAAGCCAGTCCTGGTTGTGGCTCAGACACACATTAGCCAAAAGATCTCGGTCAGTTACTTTATTCTCCTGGACCTCAATCTTCTTTCCTCCACAGAGAGAAAACTGTACCATGAGGACAGGACAGTCCTTTTGAGATCTGACATTTTGTACAGGAGCTTGGAAAGCCCTCCAGGAGACTCGGCAGCTCACAGGATAGGACGGAGAGCTCCAAATCCTGCCACTTGAAAACAGCTTTATTTGTATGATTATTCATTTATTTATTAAGATTGTCCAATTGTAAGCCTAGGGTTCCTCACAGAGGGTCCAGACGGCCAAGTATATTTTAGTGAAACCAAAACTCTCAGTCCATTTCAGAATCTTACTCTACAGCAGTCCTCCCATTTTACAGATGAAGCAACTGACGACCCATCTGTGTTTATATAGCTGCATTTCTTCTTGTACTTTCCTAGGAACTTTAAAAAGTCTAATCTTCCTGCCTAGTCTGAATGGTGAGTCTGCCACACACACACACACACACACACATCACCCTCCAAATGCTAAGAGGACACAAGAATTTGGATTCCAATAACCCTTCCCAACAATTTGTTCTTGATAATCTAATCTTCAGGATATAAGAAGTCCAACAACTGGTTTTCCTGAAGATATGTGCCTGAGTAGCAGAGAGTACACTCAAGAAGAGACATTGGTCTGTTCTTGCCGTGTAAAGTGCTGAGAATGACAGCTTCCATCCTGGACAGCCCGGGCTGGTAAGAAAGCTTCATCAGCATACTAAGGTGTGCCTGTGGTCCTTGCTAGGTGGGCACTGGAAGAGACTGCAAGGACAGGACGGCTTCAGTCCAGTCCTGACTGCTGAAGGAAGAACTGAGAGACAGACAAGCTCTGGGATTGTTAAATGTAACATATATTAAAACAAAACGAACTCTTGCACTCACTGGCTTTACTCTCCTCCTCTGCAGGCAATAAACCCATGGATGTTCCTACAACAGCCCCCAGCTTATGAATGCTCCCTGGAAGATTCCTCTATTCGTAGGGACCAAGGGGGAAGTAGGGAGAAGCAAGGATCAGTTCAAAATGTTTTCTGTTCCATTAGATCCTGGCCACTTCTGGGAGTTGGCATCTATGAACAATTCCTCTTCTTTGTTCTCTGGAGAAAGCTGCTGCAAGTGCAGCTGGGGAAAAGCACGTGCTTCAGATGCTCACATAGAGGACCTGTTAGGGAGCACTTGAGAGTTACGGCCAGAGATGGGCAGGCCAGTGCTGTGGGGGGAGCCTTGTGCCAGGCCGCTCAGGGAGCGCCGAACGACCAGCCGATAGCAGAAACCACTTTGGTGTCACAGAAACAGAACTGACTTTTAAGACTAAGACCAGAAGAGGTGTGTGTGGCCACAAGCATCAGGCAAATGCTTCTTGATTTAATGATATGGGGTGATGCCAAAAAAAAGGAGGGTGTGAGTCTCAGCTGGAAGAATGGGCCATTTCCTTGGAAAATGGAATTTTATAAACAAGCATCATTCAGCAGTCTCAGACTTGGAATCTACATGCAAGTACAGAGCTGCAGATTCTGCAGGTCTTATTAAATCAAAGTCGTCCGATTCAGTTCATTGTACAACTGAATTGCCTTTAAAGTTGAGATCAGAAATCCCCAATAATCAAATGAGATTCACAACAGTGACGGAGGACCATGCACGCCAACGTTTTTGTCAAGGTCATGGTAAGTACTAGCAACACAACAACAGAGAATAATAAAGGCTTAGATTGGGAAGATGGTGATTTTGCTTGTGAAAACCAAACCTTTGAAAGGTATGAAACCCCTCCCCCATTTATCTTTAAGAAATAACAAATAGCAAAGCAACAGTCAAATTACTTCCAAAGCTTGTTCTCCTGGACTCCCTATAGAGTTAGTGCTCAAATGTACTCCTCACAGAACACCACAGAGAAAACCTTTTCCCCAAAGCCCGATTATTGGAAGACTGAAAAAAAAAAATCACGCATGAGAGAAAGGAGCTAACAGATCTGAGGCTAGGGCTTTGGTGGCCAGCTCCGTCCCTCTGCTTTGGAGGTCTTGGCATTGAAGAAAGTGGGTGGGGAGATCACACAGTCATAGAAATACAATTACCCCATAGTTGTCTTTGGCCTTGAATAGAGCTTTAAATTCTTTTTTAAAGAAAACATTATCTTCCTGCTTACTTCGTCTCTTACATATTCCCTTCAGTTCTTACTATAATGGATATATTTTTATATGATTTAAACCCATTTCAAATTGACACGGGATGCCCTTCGGGGGTTGCGGAACTTCGTCTTGAGAGAGTTGTTGGGTGGCAGGCTCTGCCTGGTTCACATCTTACCTAAGAAAGTGTTGGAGATGTATTCAGACACCTGGTTCCCAGACCGGCTCATCTCCGAGAGGTGTGTCAGTTCCCGGTTCAGCATCCTTTTGAACTGTTTATGGAAAAAAAAAAAAAAACCCATGCATTAGCTATCTTTAAAATCAGATAAAATGATCACTCTCAATGTTTCCAACTTTACTTTCTAGGAATCAGGTGACTGGACAAGCAGATATGTCAGATAAATGGTATCGAGTCTACAGAATATAACACCCCTTAATTTGATATTATTTCAGTGCTACTTTAGGAATGGTTTTCCTAAGATTTCTTATAATTGACACCTGATTTCTTTTGAAAATGCAAAGATGGGAGAAGGAATTTCAAAATCAGTTTACTTGAAAAATGTAGTTATTTGAAAAAATGCATTTATCGAGACGACTTTAAAATTTAATTTGAGTTGATAAGCTTTTCATGAGAGGTGATTAAGTGGAAAGTTAAAAAAAAATCACCCTTTAAAAAAATAGAGTTGCATGAGAATAGGATTAAGACACTTTACAATATATTTAAATACAATGTAATAGAGGGTGCCCTTGCTCAGAATAAAGCCCAGTGGGCTAAAGGAATACACAGATTAAATCATTGTCAATGTCTTATACCTCACGGAAAACAAAACGGCTCCCTTGCTGTCAAAGACACAGAACACAATCAAATAGACCCACCTTGATGTAACCCCACGATACAGATAACAAATAGTTTGCCTCTGGCATTTTGGATGCTCTTTTTGCCACAATGCACAAATTCCTCTGAAAGAATTCAGCTTGGAGAGAGCAATCCCAACGCGGGTCGGGAAAGCCCTGCGGATTCGGTGGTGGTGAAATAATCAAGATTTAGAGAAGACAAAGCTTCCGAAATCAAGGGCATTTCCTAATGGGAACAAAGCCCATCTTCGCATTCCCTTCTTGCCAGAGTCTGTGCTCGCCTCTGCGTCTTCCCTGGCGGAGGAGGGGCGCGAGGTCAGGCTGTGCGCGGAGGAGGGAGCCTGTCCAGGGGCTGCTGGACGCGCTCTGCAATTCGGGACAGCGCCGGTGGGTGGTCGGAGGGGCTTCCTCCCTGGGTTAGCGCTGCTTGGCTGTTGCTAGCGCAGCCAAGACCAGCAGTTCTGCTTCTAGCTGAGGAAACACAGCCATCTTTTTAAAAGGAGAAGATTAAAATGGAGGAAGCCCCGGGAATATTTAAGGGAATTGGAAGCCCTGCCCTCCCCCACGGCCGCGAGGTGTCTTTAACTCTCTGTCTCCCTGCAGGCCGGGTCTCTGCAGATGTGCCCAGGGCCTCTTCATTCAAAGGGATGGTTCCCCGGATTCATTCACTTTTTGGACGTTTTTCAGACAGTGACAAAGGTTGGCACTGTGGCTGTTTTCAGACTAGGCTTCCAGTATGTTTTTATTCTAACTTTAGCTTTTTGGAGAGTTATTTGCTCACCAATGGTGTACAGATGCATTTAGCCTTGTTTTACAACGAAATGAATGCGGCTGGGATTAACGGGTCTCCTAAAGTATTTCCTAGGCAGCTCGCAATTTTCTGCACTCCACCAACTCATTAATATGCATAGTAGACTGTCTTCGGTAAATGGATTGAACTCGCTCAACCTTTCGATCTCGGTCTAAAGTGTGTTAGGAAATGAGTTCTCACTTGCGGAGGAATGAATGATGGATGTGTTGGGGTTGTGGGTGGCTACATCTCCTCATTAAATATCGAGGACTCAAACTCATTTTCATTTCACAGTCGCAACCTAGGGCACTCTGAAAATGTCACTCCTTTCCTGCAGCCCCTGCCACCCCCCTCTTCTCAGAGCACTGCAGCACAGGCAAAAGACAAGCGCAGTGGAGTTCCCCGTGGCTCCCCCACGCCTCTCCTCCCTCCCCCTGCTACCCAGTCCTGCCTCCCAGGATTCCTGCACAGCATGGCACCATAGCAACACCTCCCCTAGGACTGGCTGTGGTTCAGTGAGGCATCCCCACCTGCACCCGGAGACCGGGTCTCCAGAGCTGAAGTCAATGCAAACCGGTGTGGCTGCCTGCAGGCTGCCTGCATCGTGCATGGTCCTCACAGAGGCACATGCTGGCGTACATGTGTTTCCCCATGAGACGCGACGCTGAAGACCACAGCAGGCACCTCTGTCATGTCAGCCCCCCTGCACTGCTTACCGAACTTCTCTGTGCATTGAGCCTTCGCATAAATCCCAAGTATTATTATTATTTTTTTTTTAAGATTCAAGTGCTCTGTCCAATCACCTGCCCTCTTCACTTGTGCTGAAGTCTTAGGGGCAGAAAGACAGGCTTACGTGCTCTGACTGATCCACTGAATTTTAGCAAAGCGCCATTGCAGAAATATCTTGCAGAAGGGATAGAGACAGGTGATTTGTCTCATAAGTTTTCTGTGCAACAGTCTTACCCAAAGGTAACAGACAAACAATTCCTTTCTCATTTTGTTTCTTTCAGGATTGCTGAAATCCTTCAGGATGTTTTGGAGCCACTCTTGCACTAGTTCAATAATGACATTTTATCGTGTACTCGACAACTATTTGTTGAATGCCTAAAGTAGGCAGGCCAAGCAGTGAAGGTACCGCAGTTAAAGGATGAATGCACAAACAAAAACTCTCTGCGCGCACTTAAACAGCTGCCACTGCAGCAGAAACAAATCTACTTGAGCACGTGGGTTAACTATGCCAGATCCCAGCCTGCGCGGTGTGTTATCAGCCACACTGGTGTTTAGGCCAAGAAGACAGGGACGGGTGGAAATTGAACCAGACTAGAAGAAGCAGTGATTTTCTTTTTCTTTTCTTTCTACAGGTTCCTATTGCAGGAGGAGCCTACGAGAAATGTCAGTGAGAGAGGTGACTCTCAGCTCCAGGACTGACCACAAACCGCTGTCCTCTCCCCTCTTCTCCTGAATCAAGAATGCAGAAGGGGTCCACGTGCTCATTTCAGCAGTTAACAGATGAATGCCATGCTTATCCCCATGTTTAAACAAATGCTCCTGTGAGCCTCTTGCTAAGGGCATGGAGATGCCACCAAAAAACAAAGTCATCTTCAGGCAACCCTAGCACACACAGTGCGATCAAACACGCAAATAGAGGCCACTCCAGATCAGAAACCCACCCAGCCCTTTCAATGTTGCTTAGCAACAACTCTTAGTTTTCCTCCTGTGTGAGGGAAGGCCCGACCACACTGACTAAGGCAATCATTGCTCTCATCAAAAAATACTTATGAAGGACCCACTTATGTTGGGCTCCATACAAAATAAGGTGGGCAGACATGGCCTTCAGGGGCCAGACAGGGAGGGTCTTTCCATTCTAAGTGAGGTAGCATCCCATTAGTTAGATTAGGGCTGGCCTGCGGGAGCAGAAACATCAAAGAATGGAACACACGTGGCGCATGTTTGAGGTTAAGGCTGAGGAGACAGCTGCCTGCTCACAGGCACTGCGCTTGTGGGCCTGACACCCATATGGGGCCGACCATGGGGAGTTGGAGGCTGCCCTGCTGTCACAGGTCGACCGCGACATTCATTCTCATTTCTCGCTAAGGGTCTATGTGAAACAAGAATGAAGCATGCGCTTAGGGTCTCAGCCTCTCAGCCCTAATCTGTCATGACTCTGTGATAAACTCTGTGTCAGCCTCCTACAGTTTGGGAGCCTGATGTACAAGCAACCAGTACTTCCCCGAAAACACAACTGCTCCTACACTACTAAGAAGAGCAAAAGGTAAGAAACGCTTCAGTCCATGTCAATAGGTCACCAACCAAGGGAGAGACATTCGTCATGTGTCAGGGTTTCATGTCTAAGGCTCTTGGAGTTTATCAAGTTAAGGGCTTGTTCCACATGGAAGGTAAAATTGGTCCTGAGTTAAACGATATCCCAAAGCACTCTGAGACTGAAAGAGGATGGGCATTATTTACTTCGTCAGACACAGTAGAGAATCCCCAAGTAGAGCTCACTCTTTCACAGATCAGTGGGTCTCCATGTCCACTGTACACAGACCCTACTTCTCTTTAAGGATCTAGCGCTTACCTAGAAATAATGTCCCCGGAGGAAACGGCCAGAGCCCCTTTGCACACAGACAGGCAAAGTTTATGAATGAACCCTTATTGCAACACATTCTGCCACTGCCTCCCTACATGCTAGATTCACAAACACTGTTTAAAAGACTGCAGCTAGTTTCTGAAAGGGGAAGAAAGTACCACTTTCTATCTAAATGACCGAGTGACATCTGCCTAAAATGTACCTTTTGTATAAAATCATCTATGATTTTTAAATAGGCTTCCTTTACCAGTCAGAAATGACTTTGAAACACAGCAATGAACAGTGACACCTGACAGGATCATCTTGTTTGATGGCTCCACTTTTTCTTTCGTTTCAATGCCGTCTAGAGAAATTAGTTTCTTCTGAGCCAGTCTCTCTGAAGTGATAAAACGTCATCAGTTTGCTATGTTTCTCTTCAGAGGCCTTGCTAAGGTTGCACACAGATCCACAGACAAGCGAGGCACTGTTTGGATCAGCAGCATTCACGCTGCTCATACAGAGTGGGTACTGCAATGCCCCAAATCTTCCCAAATCTGAAGGGAGACAATACAAGGAGGTAATTTCAAATACATGTCAGAGCTGCTCTGAAGACGAATCTGGGTTTGCTCAGGCTGAATCCTAACTGCCCAAATACATGGAATCAGACCATCACAGCTGCTGCAGGGTCTCCTTAATGACAACTTCTTCAGTCAGTAGAAGATGGTGAGGACGGAAAAAAGGTGCCAAAGAGAGGAAGACAGGCTGCCATGACTCCTGTGGGTGGCCGTCTGCACAGGGGCCCAGCTGTGAGACAGGTGCCTTATTGTGTGGGATCTTCCTGTTTTTGCAGCATGAAACAACCGCCGAAGCCATTAAAGCCACAATGACTTTATTGGGGACTAACTTTTGACTCACATTTTAGACTTTGTGAGTCCTAACTTCATAAGAATTCCCGGGCAGCAGGAAAGCAAAGGGGTTGAAAATTACTCCCCCGAATTATGAAATGCTCGGAGTGGCAGAGAGAGGGGAAGCTGGTGGCACAATTCGGTGGGGAGGGA